GGAGTAGAAAGTACAGATAACTGTGTAAAAATGTAAGGAATAGAAGTAAAAAGTAGGTTAAAATAATCACTTTAGTAAAGTATACAACATTTCTACTTAAGTAAAGTAACAGTGTATTTTGTGATTTGACACCTGTGCTTGTAGGGAAGCTTTAGCCGTGTTGTCTCAGGATGATGACATCATAACAAAGCTTCCAGCCAACAGCAAAGGCTGCATTCCATTATGAAATACTTACATGTCAATTTCAACATTTAACCACAATGTTTAAGATTAAACTTTTAAATTTTAATTTACAGTTTTAGATTTAGAATTTAACATTTAGATATAACACTGAATATTTAAATTCAAATGAGCAAAATGTAAAAACAATAAGACAAATAATAAAGAGTTCAGGGATTATTTTTATCTAGGATTTTATACAGAAAGTGAGATAAATAATGAAAACGTATTTGATTTTACTCTTGGTGTCCCATAAAACAAAGGCCTGAATGTGGATTCAGGTTGTTGCAGCACAGAGCAGTAATGTTTTCTGAACATGTGGAGGTGAAGTAACTCAGACAGGATCGTCAGTTTAAAGCTGGAAATGGCAGAACGACGTGTTTCTGCCTCACAGGATGGACGTTATTGGGAGCAGAGGAATTTATCCTGATGCAGGGGGATGTGAGTGTTCATGTGGGGCAGAACTGGAGCAGGTGTCAGGACAGAGGTGATGAGGAGCTGCTGGGCTGTGATGGTCTGATAGAGCAGACATGTTGAAGGACAGATGACAGKGGATTCTGCTGCAGGTGGGAGGAAAAGAGGAAAACGATGGAAAATGGTTCATGGATGTAGTGAAAGGAGGCTCTGATGGGGATTCCAACTGAGACCGAAAAGGTTTCCTGTTTACCCCATAAAGGTTCAGAAAACAAGGCCAGGAGGAGTACATCACTTCATGTGTTTACTCTGTCCACATGGCAGATCCATTTTATCAACATCCAGACTACCAGTGTTTATAACCCCTTCAGTTGTCAAGACRTTTCACAAAACAAATCACATCATGTTAAATATTTCATGGCTCACATCAGACCTTCCTGTTGTGGTCAGAAAGGATTCAGCTTCGYCTTTTCTCCTCACTGAGCAATAAATTCAATCTTTTTCCACAAATCATGTGTTTACATCACTCTGAGTCATTAAACCACCTGTGTTTAACTGTTAGAATTAGTGGAGACCGGGGAC